TCGGAAAAGTCTTTAAAAGTTTGCAAAATTTGATTGACTGGGCCGTCGGAAAAGGGGTAAATCGAGAGGAGAGGGGCATTCCTTCTTACAATTTTCAAATTGTTCATTTCCCTCTGTTCATTTCTTTTAATTTCCAAAAAACCAATTTCCAATTAATAAAAAAGAAAGGAGGGCATTCATTGTCTAAAAAAAATTAGCCCCTTCAGTCAAATACAAGAGCTTCGTTAATACTGGTGCCTAATTAGAGGATTTACTGGACATCAATTTTAATGCGCCATATGCGATTTTTCAAGAAAAAGCAATAGGTCAAAATAAACGGAGGTTCAGCACTTAGTCTGGAAAAGTTTTTAAGGAATTAAAACAAATGGGGACCTTGAAATATTAAGTAAACGGTTAATGGGAGTGTCAAAATTACCTTTATAACAGTAAGTCAACACTTAAATTGAAAATGCCGAGCAGCTTTTTGATGCAAAAAATTTAAGGTGCAATATTCCCTAAATGCACGGCCAAATCCTTTTCTTTATTTCTATTTGCAGTTTGTAAATTTCTTTTTCTTTTTCTGTGTCCTATAGTACTCAGAAGCCTACCCTGAGAACACCTTCCCCTCCAGGACTCACAACCATCATCGAACAAAGTAAGCAATGTGTTGTGAAGTAAGCAATATGTTGCTTTTATAATTTCACAGCTGTCATATTTTGTCAATTAATATCAAGAACCATAAGAAATTGTTGTTAAATCAAATTTATTGATTTCGGCTCATTTATATGCTTTTCGACATAAGTTTAAGAAATAAAATGGTTTTTACATGAATTGATTTTAAAAAATACTTGCCCTAGCTTGAATATTCATAGTAATAAGGGGGAACGAAAGGTTAGCAAAGTCAGAGAGAAGGGTACAATTTACGCATCCCAGATTCAGAGATTAGGGTCCAGTTTCTCCTTGCAGGACGACCACACATGATATACAGTGAACGAATTGACTGAGCCCACCGGGCGTGTGACTAGATCGGATGCAAAAATTTTTCACTTAAGCTTTTCGAATGAAAAAAGTCTTTAAGTATTCTCATGAAACTTCAAGCGACTTTGAGAATAATGGGAAACATTTAAAACCGCACCCAAAAACATCCAATAAATATTTTTCAACTAATTGCTATACAGTTTACATCGCTTTGTTTCAAATGTAAAAAAGTTATTGGTTTTCAAAGGAACCATGTCCAAATATCTTAATGGCTAAATTAATCTCAATATGAACAGCAAGATCGACTCCCTTTATATCTCTATTTTGTTTATTACTTAGCTGAATTCATAGCCTCCCACAACAACTGGTGTCGCAGAGCGGAGCAAGGGGTGGGGGGTTATAGCCCCAAACTTTTTCGAAAACGTAAAATATCAAGAAATTGACCACCAGCTGAGCCTCTTTTTATTTGGTTTCAACCCCCCCCCCACCCCTTATTTACTCAACGTTTGCGAAGACTGCATATCACGATACTGGCTGTTGGAAGACTTTACGAGAGATGCGATGTGAATGTTGCCAGCCAGAAAAAAACCGCTGCTCGAATAGCGCGGCGCTTCCGTGAAAAACAGAGGCAATATAAACCTGTCAGTGGCTGTGTAGAATTCACAGTTGGAAAGATATTCTGAGCATTGTACATCTCGCGCGGGAGAGCTTGGCAAGTGTGTGGTTCTAGGCAAATTGCGCTACATTTCACTGGAACACGAGGATACTTGAGAAATTTATTATAACTCCAGGTTTTGTGAAACAAGTGAATATTATCTTAATCGTATTCAATGGAGTGTCCACAGCTCCATGAGAAGCTCTTCTACAAATCATTTTCAAATCCACTCAGTGGTGGTTAGGAGCACATGGAAAGAGGCATGGAATTTGGCGCCAAATTAGTTGGTTCTTTTCAATGTCGGAAAATGCGGGAAAGATGGTACATTTTGACTTGGTAAGTTGACGTAATATATTCTAGTGTCGATGGTGAGCTATTTGACTGTTTTTTGGTTAATCTTTTTTCGGAAACATATGCGTGTGCTTATTCTTGGCCAATAACCGACTTTAAATTAGGTTACCGTCGCTTGAGAAAAACTTTATAGAATTTTAAATGCGAATCTTAATATTTACCTGATAGTCACCAACGAGACTGTCGTTGGGTTTAGGTGGGATACGGGGAGAAAGGGCAAGTGCATCTACCATCGATCGACTATCGCGGTAGGAACACGACCTGATAGAATAGGCGAAAGGGCACCTTGCTAATTATCCCGTTCGACGTACTGGCATAAGACTGTGCCCGTTTCGATCTATTCGTCGTAATGACCTATTTATATTTCACCTTATGCGCCAAATTTTTAGCTTGAAGCCTTTTGCGTACCGCAAGCCACTGGGAGGGGCAAATTGCGTACATGATTTTTACCAAAGCAAAATAATTTCTAGGGATTTTCACATAAAACCATATGATTTTAACGGAAATTGTACAAGATTTTCAAAGACTGAATTCGCCCCTCGGCCTCGAGCGTAGAAGAACCGGTGAGATCTACCTAGGCAATAAAATTGCGTATCACGCGTGCGGTATATCAAAGGAATCAAATGTAATTAAGGCCTGTCATGAGGATTAGCGCCTGTCAACATGCAAATTTTCTGACCATGAATTCCATGGCAAATACAGGGCCCTGATTGGCTGAAACGGTTCAAGCTGATTTTTTCGCCAGGATTCTGTTTAATCACGATCGATCTTGTTAATACTGATTTTTCCTTCTCCTCGGTGCGTGGATTTTCTCCTCAGAATATGGATCGCGTTCTAGGTAATGAGCTAGTAGCTGGTGTATGTAAACTGTCATCTCAATCTCTATTTTTAGCAACATAAATCAGACTACAGTCAACCATATCCAACAATTGCCCTAAGGCTCCATATTCTTACATGGCTACATGCATAGCTCAGAATTTAAGGAAAGTTTCTTGATGTTTTATTTCAAGAAACCAACAGCAAAAAAGGCTATTTGATACCGATTTGCATCCTAGTGGAAACCAGTACCAAATAAAATTACTTCTGTGTCTAAATTCTCTATCAATGTGTTATAAAGGGCTACCAATGATTTGAGGGGCATCAAATAAAATAATTTGTTGTCTTACCTGTTTTAATCCATTGCAGTTTTTGCTGGCCCTGTTTTATATGTGGATTGTGGTCTAATGTATTGTCTGCATGAAAATTTGGGCTTATTCAAGCCTTCTTTTTAAGTACAAAAAGGGGGCATGGCACAAGTCCTGTTATAAGCAAGTTGTGATGAAGAAAGAAAAACAGAGATGACACTCTGATTGAAAAAAAGCTGCCATCACTTAGAAATAATTTCCTTAGAAGTTATTTGATACTTTATAACCAAACAATTTTAATATATGAC